GAACGAAATCTCTTCATCAGCCGACATTTTGTTGGTCTTTGGCGCTAAAGTAACTGGAAAAGACAAAGCAAAGACAGAGAAATCGTTTCATTACCTGGCCCTTGTCAACAGCAGTCCACTCGATGAAAGTCTTCAGTTGAAAGGCGATGATGGTGGTGACAGCGAAAAGCTGACTTACAAGTTGACCGATTTGCAGAAAGTTACCGTTGCCAAGTTGCACAAGTAAACAAAAGTTTTGAATAGATTTTTCAGTTTCATCTTTCAGTTCATATCTTTTGGCTGCCAGTGTTTGAAAAGATGTGTAACTCTTTATCAATTTGTGCAAGTTTTCTGCTGTTAACAGATTTGAGTAAAACACTTTTTGTTTTTTAGATAAATGAGGCAAGTTTATTAAAAATGCTTAACTTTTCAAAGTTGTTGATACACAATTTTAAACTTACATTTTTAGCAAGGCGAAATGCTTGAGGGTGAGAACAGCAAGTAGAGAAATTCAAAGTTGGTAACCAGGTGGTAATTTATTACTCCCTCGACTGCAGTGACGATGGTCGATGACGAAGGTGACAGTGGGGTCGCAAATGAGAGTTTTCAGAGACTTCTGCTTAATTAAAGGCTGGTGTGCAGTGCCTCATATTGCAGCGGATGTTGCTGATGTTGGTGGGAAGCTCGTTAGCGCGAGTGCATCTGTTGCTGGGGCAGCTCGGTCGGTGCCTCTTTGAAGTGAAGACTAGCAGACTGGGCTAACCTTTCTAACAGTATCAGTACTTTTTCAATTCAGTTATTATTATTATTACTTTTTTTCAGAATGTTTCATTTATAGCCGACCCTTCTGCCCTACTACGATAGGTAATCTGGCCTAGTAGTCTAGTAGTTATGATTTTCGCTTTGGGTGCGAGATGTCCCGGGTGCAAATCCTGGCTAGGCCAAACCAACCCATTTTTTTTATCGCAATACTGACCAGCCATGTCACACGCAGTTAATAGAGTTAGGCAAAGAAAGAACCAGCTTTTTATTTCAAACTACTAATCCGTCATCTGCCATTCATTGAGAGAGTGATCGATTGAAGAAGGTGGTTGGAAAGAAGAGGAAGGAAAGAAAGGAGAAGGGGAAACAAGTGCACGTGATGACATTGTTCTTGCAGTTGGTAGTGAATGGTGTGGTGGCTAGTGATAGAGGTGGAAGTGGTAGTGCTAGAAGTGGTAGTGATTGTAGGAAGGTGTGCTTGCAGTAGTGCTTGCAGGTGTGTGTGTGCAGGTGTNTTCTTGCAGTTGGTAGTGAATGGTGTGGTGGCTAGTGATAGAGGTGGAAGTGGTAGTGCTAGAAGTGGTAGTGATTGTAGGAAGGTGTGCTTGCAGTAGTGCTTGCAGGTGTGTGTGTGCAGGTGTGCCACAGTTACCTCATTTAGAGCTAGGCCTTGCAACTGCTTAGTAGTTGTCAGTGGAGGTGTACTCGGCAGTGGAGTACGACGGCTGGGCAGTGTAGGTGGAGCCACCGCCGAGGGTGAGGCCAGAGAGACCGCTGAGACCGGAGTAGCCGGAGAGGCCGCTCAGACCGGTGCTGTATCCGGCGGAGTAGGCGGGCTGGGCGAGGGCGATGGTCTGCAGCTGGGCGGCGGGCTGGACGGCCTGCAGGGCGACGGTCTGCACGGCTGGCTGCACTGAGGCGACCTGGATCGGCTGGACGGCCACGGCCTGGTACGAGGCCTGGGGTCGGGCGTAGTTGTACGACTGCTGCTGCACCTGCTGGCCACGGGTCACCAGCTGGTTGATCTCCTCCTGAACGGGGTTGACCACCTGTTCAAAGCGAAGCAATGAGAGCGGTCAGTTCAGTTGGTGATAAACAAAAAGTTATAAAATAATGTACCTGAGAAATGCGGCGGACGGGAGTGATCTCCTCGTGGACTGAAAAATAGAAAGCAAAACAGATTAATAAGCTGCTTTTTGCTAAAGTGGGGCTAAAACGGGCGTACCCTCGTGGATGAGCGGCTTGGTGATGGTCTGTCGGAGGACATCGGGCTCCTCGGTGTGCGAGCTCTCCTGTGNTGGCTGGCTGGGGATGTGCGTCTGGCGGACATTCACTGGGGAAGACTGCGATTGGAACTCAAAGTCAAGGGGCTGCACCGACGGGCCGATGACGATGGTCTGGGGCTGGGCTGGCTGGGCAGAGGGACCATCGACGTATTGCACGTTTCGGGTGGACTGCAATGGCAAAAAAAGTATGTTTAGTAAAGAATTTAATCTTATTTAAAAGCAAAACCGTTTACCTGAACTGCAGCGTAGACTGGGCCAGAGGACTGAGCGTAGTTGGATTGACCGTAGTTCGACTGGGCATAACCGAACTTGGCCACCGGGGCGGAAGCGACGGGGATCACCTGGGCGATGATGGCACCAGTGCCGTAGGCGGCCTTGCCATAGCCAGCACCATAGCTGGAACCATAACCGGAGGANGCGTAGACTGGGCCAGAGGACTGAGCGTAGTTGGATTGACCGTAGTTCGATTGGACATAGCCGAGCTTGGCCACCGGGGGGAACTTGCCCAAGAGAGCAATGGTTCCAGCACCATAGTTGGAGCCATAACCGGAGGAGAGACTTCGGAGACCATAGTTGCCGCCGAATGAGCTGCCGCGTATCGGGATAGAGTATTGGGAGCCACCGGAGAGGAGGCTTCCGTAGCTTCCACCAGTGGACAGCCTGTTGAAGCTGAGCTTGTTGTTGTAGTCCAGGGCGCAGGCCACTGAGACAAGGGCGAGAACGAGGAAAAACTGCAAAGAAAAGTGCCTGGTTAGTAAAAAGAAGGTTTTCCAGCAAACCAATCGGCAATTTATCAGTAGTCTCACCTTCATGGCTGCTGATGATGGTTGTGGTGGTGGTGGTCACGCACTTCAAACAGATGATGAGTTCTTCAGTGGGCAGCCGGCGTCCTTATATACCCCATCCTCACTCGGAATCATCCTCATCAACAGCTAGCAGTTAGACTATTCACTGACACACACACGTACATAGCTTGTGAGCCTAATCACTGCGGGATCATTACCAATTCAGACACCGGCAGAATAAGCAGAAGGAGGGAGAGAGAAAGTGAAAGAGGTACCCTTGGCAAGATGAGAAACTCGATGCTCTCTAAACTTGTTTTTCTTTCTCGACGCCTCTTTCTTCTGCTGCTCTTTCGGATCACTGTTGCTACCTGTCGCCCGTGAGAAGAGTGAAAGTAGAAGACAGAGATGGACTCACCTTGAACTGAAGACATACTGGCGCACTTTCTAGAAAAAAAGAATAAAAAGATGCACCCTTTTTGAAGGATAGTCTCTCTACCCTCGTTTCACTTTCGTTTGCTTCTTTTTCATCTTATCACCAACCAAATGGGTTAGCACTGATGCTGCTGTTGCCAATGACAGTCGTTTAGCTTCAGTTTTAATTACCCGATAAGCAAAAGACTATGCTACATCGCCGCTCGTTTCCCAGTTTAACTGCCACTTGTTCCCAGTGCAGATAATTAGATGTCGCTAATAATTTATACAGTGCAGATAAGATACAGCACACCTAGATTTAACGACAGAAATGACCGCAATGACTGCTAGGATGACGAATTGCTTGATGGCAAAAAAGTTTGGAAAAACTGCTTCAAATGATTCTAGTTTTTAAGTTAAAAATGGTTTTCTTAGAATCCAAAAAGTTTATGATAAAAATTATTAATTTAAAATAAAAAATGTTCAACTTTTTGCCAAACAAAAAAAATGTTTTTTAAAGTTAAAAACACGCTCAAAAGTACTTTAGTTGCATTATAATTGTTGACTCTTTTCAAACTGAATAAAAAGCAAAAGCTTAAAATGCAAATAAAAAAACTAAAATTGAACCCACGCACAAACAAACTGAGGTTTTGTTTGCATTTGGCATTGAAGCGTAATTAGCGCATCCTTTAGTCAGTTGCTAATCGCCAGGAAACATCTCGCTCTTTTCTCACATATTTCTTCTTTTACATAAAGTAAATCTCCCTACATAAAGTAAGTCTGACTAGTCATTGCTGTTTTATTTGCTTCAGCCAAATTTTAATCGTCACTGAGAATCTTTTCATTTTGTATGTACTTAAACTGAACTAATTGTAAAGATGAAAGACAGTGAAAGTTGGCTCTGTACGGTAACCTAATTAGATTTTCAAATTTTCTCCTGCCAGCAATCAAAAGTGATTTATTCTTTTGTTTTTTATAATTGTCAAATTTTTTATTTACAAAAAAGAAATACGAAAAAACCTCCAATTTGTAGTAAAATTATCAATTTTATCAATAATATTTCATAACGATTTCTTCAAAAAAATTTAGTGCATTTTACATTATTAATTCGCTTTAAAGAATTACTAATTCTTCACACATCTCAACTTTTTACAAAGAAAATACCTTGCAACCAAACTGTCACCTTTTTTGTTTGCTTGTGTTAATTTCAGGTTAGTTAGACTTTTCTACATTTTGACATGATTACGTGATTTGCTTTTCGATGCAAAAGAGATATAAGAAAAAATGCGAGGGTTCAGCAAAAACGACAGTCGTACAACATCCGAACTTGCTACCAAATATGAGCAACACTGTCGGCGTGATGAGTATGGTGATAAGAAGATGTCGACTGATATCTGTCATATTTTTTGCTGCTGTTTCTTCTTCTTCTTCAGACAAGCGACAATTAAGGAGATAAAGAAAAAGAGGAGAAAAACCCTAAACAAGTTTCATTTGAATATAAAATGGTAATTTCGTTGAACTGAAAGTGAACTGTAAGTTCCTTACTCGATTCACCTCACCTTCATCCCACTAAATGTGTAACAACTGCTTGAAGGCGCGTGCAAAATGCCGATTGAGTGCCGCATAGATGAGTGGATTCACCATTGAGTTGGAGTACAGAAACCAAAGAGCCAGAGAGTACAGCAGACGAGGCGGGGCCCGTTCGCCCAGGGTCGAGGTGATCAGCGTTGTCAGGTAAAATGGCCACAGAAAAATGATGTAGGCGAGGAGAACGGTTAAAAGTGTCTTGGCGACGCGATACTCACGACGGTAACGGTGATAGTTTGGCTTTGGTTGAGATTGAGATGGTGGTAATGCGGGTTGCACTTTCTGGTCGGTACTTGAGGTGCTCGATGAAGTTGACGTTTTAGTTGTTGTCCTTTGTTGTTGTTGTTTGTTTTCAGCTTTTGTTGGCGGCAAGGCAGCCAAAAGGTGAGGTGACGGAAGAGGACAGCACTGGCGTTTTGATTTCTAAAGTGGCAAGTTTCTTAAGAAAGCTTTTATCATTACAAAGAGCATTTACCTGATAAATCTTCACGTAGAGCGGTATCATGATGGCAATGGGCCCGTAGAAGACCACTACCTGACTGGCCAGTTTGTGAATCACCTTTTGTGCTGGAAAGCAAATCTGCTCGCGCAAACCTTTCTCAAAGGCAGCCTCGTCAATCCAGACAGTCAGAGGAAAGAGGGCAATGCCAAAGGAGACGGCCCAACTGAAGACGACCATCGCCGCAACCTGAAACTTGTGACGCCTACTTCCCCAATGAAGACTACCACTCTTTTGAGTGTTCTGGTGTCTTCTAGTCAGAACTGAATGCGGCCGGTTGATGGCCAGATAGCGGTCCACTGCAATGGCCAGCAGGTGAAAGGAGGAGGCAGTGGAGCAGAGGATGGCCAGGAAAAGCCAACTGAAACACAGTCGACGACCGTACCGCCAGCTGCCCAGGTTGACCACCTCATTGAAGGCTTTCAGTGGCATGAGAATCAGGCCGACGATTAGGTCGGTAAGCGCCAGTGAACAGATGAGGTAGTTGCTCGTTCGGCGGAGGTGCCGAAAGCGGATGATTGCAATGATGACCAGAAGATTGCCAAAGACGGTACAGCAGATGAGAAGGAGAAAGAAGAGGCCGCTGATAAGCTGCAGAAACTGACAGTTGGACGGTTTGATAGAAGAGGAGAAAAGTGTTGTATTGTCCATTTTTTCTTTTAGGTTTAGTTTGCCTGCCACAGCAAGAGTCAACGACCGAATGAACTGGGTTCGTTGGTTGCATCGATTACCCACCATATTCTGTTNGTTGGACGGTTTGATAGAAGAGGAGAAAAGTGTTGTATTGTCCATTTTTTTCTTTTAGGTTTAGTTTGTCTGAGCAGAGCAAGAGTCAACGACCGAATGAACCGGGTTCGTTGGTGGCACCAATTACCCACCATATTCTGACAGTGCAGCGTTAGGCTAGCGCGGGCAAGTGCCGTCAAAGAATGCGGGCGCAAAAAATTAATTCTCTGCTAAAAGATATAATTGCGTTCATCAGGCACACTCATATTTTGTTATTATAAAAAAAATCTATATTAGTGGTAAAAAATACATTTGCTATAAAAATGAAAATAAAACTTGTTNGATATAATTGCGTTCATCAGGCACACTCATATTTTGTTATTATAAAAAAATCTATATTAGTGGTAAAAAATACATTTGCTATAAAAATGAAAATAAAACTTGTATACATTTACACAACAAAAAAGAAAAAACTCATATTGCTAACTACAGGGAGAGAAGGACTTGAAGGCACTGGTGTAGTTGATCACACAGAACATCACAATGGCGCCCACGGCGGAGCCAATCTGCGTGAAGACGCCCCCCAGGAAGAGGTACCGATGAGACTGCTTCTGCTGAGAGCTGCCCGCCCTCAGCAGCCTCGTAATGGACGCCCGACAGAAGGCAAAGAGGGCATTGTTGGCCACCCACACGCAGACGATGAGCACCGAGCCAAAGCCACCGGTCACCAGACGGCTGGGACTGCTCAGCGCCGAGGCGAGAATGAAGCCGGCAGAGGCGACCGCCAGCGCAAGCAGCACCGGCAGCACCTTCGCCTGGCGGGCATTGAGGAAGCCGCTGCAGTAGGTGCCACTGGCAGAGGCGATGGCGGAGAGGGAGACCACAAAGTGGTAGGCCACATTGCCGTACACCAGCACCGAGTACGGCTGAATGGGCGGCAGGAGGCCGTTGGTGATGCAGCAGATGCACGCCTCGGTGATCAGCAGTGTCAGCAGGGTTCGCGTGGACAGAGAAGACGACTCTTGTTGATGATGATGATGCTGCTGCTGCTGATAAGGCTGATGCTGTTGGGGCTGCAGCTTATCAGTTTCCACTGCAATGCGACTGCTGCTCTCGCCGACGGTAACGTCAATTGCAAAGAAGCGTTTCAGATTGGAGAGGAGGAAGAAGGCAAACCAGCTGATGATGGCTAGCAGCGTCAACAGACCAAAGAAGACGTTCACGGAGAAACGAGGACTCGGATACACGGGCACTTGAGTTCCGTTGACCTGGTGGCAGTCAGGGTTGCCGCCCACGCCCTGTGCAAGGGCGAGGAAGCTGGGCAGAAGACCACTGAGTGACTGGCCGACCAGATGAGAGACGAGGTAGTTGCTGGCAATGCTGCTCATGAAGGGAATGTACAGCACTGAGGAGGTACAGTCAACGATGGCGAGGAAGAAGGTCAGCGTGAGAAAGGCGACCGAATGTTCTTTGCTGCCCACCACCGAGATGTGGTCCCAGAAGAAGATTTGCAGCACCAGGGCTACAATGCCGATCCAGTTTATGGCGTGAATAGAAAGGCGCTCCAAGAACTGAACCAAAAAGTTGAAAATGGACTTTAGCTAAAGTTTAGTCGAAAAAACTCGATGAAACTTACCGGACTGCCAAAGAGTCGCTTGAGCAGCGAGTACAACAGCGGCCCAACATTGGCCAGCTGTGTGATGAGGGTAATGTAGGAGGCAAGGTTCCAGGCTTCAGGCAGCCGACTCACCAACAACGGTGTCTGCTGCCACAAACCGTTGATGGCAATCCAGGCGCTGATGCCAAAGAGTGCGGAGAGCAGGTGAACCAACAACTGCTTGCCGGACTTCATTTTCGACTGCAGGTGCTGATTCCGGGTTCTATATTATGCACTTATTATGCAACAGTGATGCAACACACTGCTCTGGCATGTGTTGAGCGTGTACGATTCTGGCAGACACAGCAAAAGCACAACAGCACACACACAATTAGCTGCACCAGTCAGCGTCGGTGTCTGGCTGTCAGTCAGTCAGACAGTCACAGTGAGCAACTGGGCTGCCAATGAAGCAACTCACACTGGCCAACCGGAGTGCTAAACCGGAGTGAGCAGTAGTTTATTTAGTGAGTGTGTGTGGACGACGGTGTCCTCCTGTCGGCTGTCTGCTCTGGTGCAGCACTGCACCAGCCACTGGCTACCACTGATGCTGCTTCTAGTAGAGCACTCTAACCTTTGCCTATTGTAATGACTTTGCGATAAACTTGACAGTACTGCACTGACTGCCTCTTTCTCTCTGTGTGCTTTTGGCTAGAAAAACATACACACACTCACACATTTCTCTCATATTCACACTGAGCATCAGTGTGAGTGCTGCCATGACATTTGCAAGTAGTGAGAGTGGCATTTATAATTAGCCGGCGCAGTGTGAGAGACAATGTAAAGTGAAGAGAAAGAGTGCAGAGAAAAAGTTGAGGCTACACTGTACGCATTGTACGACCAAAACAGTGAGCTTTATGGTCGGCTTTCTTTTTTTATGATTTTCAAATTGTAACACATGAGGCCGATAATCTGTTACAGTTGGTTTTTAAATAGGCAACTGTTGATGTATGTGGATAAGGAGATAAAGAGACCTACTGCATGTGTGCGTGTGTGTGCACCGAGAAGGACATTGTGGAGAATAAAGCTCTCATACAAGGTAAGCAATTTTAAAAGTTTCAGCTAGTTTGGTCTACAATTGATTACCTTCTATGTGACATGATCATTTAGAAAAAGTGAGTTTTAAAATTGTCAGCAAATGATGCTCGGATGATTTACAATGTCAGTGAGCACTGTCTACTGTGCACAAAGATGGTACAGAAAACTGGTTTCAGTTGCGCTTGTTTGTGCAAATCGCCCCTGCTACTGTGACTGTTGCACATTTACAAGGACGATATCAATCAATGCCCCGATTTCTAATGATATTCACCCACTCTCGATTCGCTCGGTGACTGCAGCCAAATTTGGGGAATTTCGTTCCTGCCTGTTTAGCTGCCTGCTTTCCTCTTTTGATCTGTATTTATTTATAAATAGAATTTATACAGATAA